GAGCGAAAATATGGTTGAGAATGAGTAATTAACAAATTGCAGCGGTAACTCCCGAAACACAACTGAAGACAATTGCAGGTATCCCCATGGCTGAGCACCAGACTGGCTCACCGTGCTTGGTGTTGACGTCATTTGAGAACCAGCTCTGACATCGGGCCCCACTCTTAACACAGCCATGTGCCTCTGTGGCAATGGACAGTTTCATTTTCTGAGGGATGCTGGAAGCTGAAGCAGACTGTTCTAGGAACCTGGCCTGCCGGAGGGGACAAATCCACCCCAAAAGCAATGGGAGTTTTGATGCTTGTTGTTTGGGACCAGGATTTTACTCTGCAAATACAAACACTGGGGTTTTTTCTCAGTTCTGATTCATACACCCTTCCACTCCATTTTCTTTATTCAAAATGTTCTTGTGTTAGTGGCTTATTTCCCAAGCAACAGCTCCCTAGCACATCCCCGTGCATTTAATTCATTAAATAGAGGCTATTCTGGACTGAAAGTGCCTGTAGGACTACCCCTCTTGCCTTTGGCTGCAGATGTGTAACAAGGCAGACATAGTCATACCACCAGCAGCAGAAGTTTTCAGGTTCAGCTTTTTTCAGTGCACGGAGGCAGCTTATCCTGACAGCCCTAACCTCTGGGGTCTCTCCAGGACAACGCGTACCTTTTCCAGATCACAAAGGTAACGTCCTGCACTGCCACTTTCCACTTTTTCCTGCGTGGGCAAAACAAGCACTGTGTAAACTTGCTATGGGAAGAGAAAACCAGTTCCACACAGCCCTGTGAAGCCTGGCTGCAATGAAGAGGTTGCTTCCGTTAGGGCTGGAGGGGAGGAGTGGCCCGGCATTTCCAAAGCCCAGCAGTTTTGTGTGCTCTTCACCCAGGCCTCTCTGCCTGTGGCTTGCAGGCTGATCAGCTTTTTGTGCAATCAGCTGCAATGAGGCACAGGAGGTGGGAGATGAAATCTGAAAACCATCCAAAGCTGTAATGTCATGAACCAGGAAGAAGTAATGATTTACCAACCTCTTTATGCAAATCCCTAGAGTGGCTGGAGCTAGAGGACTCCTACAAAGCCTGGAAGAGTGAGTGAGAGTGTACACATCTGCGCGTGTGTACACACACAGATCTCCGTCCCCTCCTTTAGAAGGGATGGGGCTAGAAGCTGCTCAGGTGGTACTGAAAAACACTGGAGACCCGAATTCAGTCAAGCACGCTTGAATATTACGCTAAGGAGCCCCTAATGGAGCAGGATGGAGCCCTGCTTAAGGCGTCTTTGCCCGTGCCTTGTTTTCTTCCTTTCTGATAGCCAAAATTTGGGGCTGTTGCTGCATCCCAAATCCTCTCCACTGCCTGGGAGCTGCTGGTGCCTTCATCTCCTGCCTGGTCTAACTGGACAAGAGAAAGCCTCTGGGGGTAGGGAGTGGTTGAAAGCAGCTTCTGGGGGGGCAGCTGAGACTTGTGGAAAAGGGGAGGTTGGGGGAGCCTTAGTGTGACAGAGCTTTGCACTGGTTGCTCCTCAAAGCTGCACAAGTCAGGCTGAAAGCGTGCCCTGGGCACGTGCTTCACCTGATGCTGCAAAACAGTTTGGTGCATGCTTCAGCCCAGCCAGGCCACATTTTAAATGGGGGGCAGTAACCGTGGCCTGCCTTGCTCATCCAGCATAACGATACTGGAGTTGCTGTGATAACTGTAAGCTGGACCGAAATTTGTCCATGTGATCGATCCTTCCATCCCAGAGTGAGTTACATTTCTGGAGCACCAGCTCTGCTTTCTCCCTGCACTAATGGCTCAGACCGTCACCTGTTTAGGTCACTGCTGCAGTTACCCTGGCTGAATGTTCTTCTCCCCCAGCCTCACCAGCCTCCTACACTCAGACTTTGGCAGTCTCCTTGGGCCAGAGATTACAGTCTTGGCAAAAAAGATTTGAGAGAGAAGAGACAAAGCAGACACCAAAAGATTTTTACTTACCGCTGCACTGGTTGCTGCTTGTCGTGCTCTTCTCTGCTGCAGTAACTCCTTGACTGTAATCTTTACTCTAACACCTTGATACACCTTGGGCTTTCCTGAAAGGATTTGTGGAAAAACACTTTACAAGATGGGAGACTTCCAGAGCATACAACAAATCCAGCATGTTTTCAGGCATGCTCTACGCGGAGTCTACTTAGCTTTAACAGATGATTAACTGGTCACTGTTATGTCACTTGTAATCACAGTTTATAGTCCTCTAACACCTGCTATTCAAGCTTGTGACAAGCAGATGTTTATGAAAAAGTTGGTGTTGATTATATTTAGTAATCATACATGTTTTACTCTTTTCTATCTCCTTCTCCCCCCCTCCTCCAGGTGTCCTAATACCAAGCTCCATCTGGTGCTACTGTTGAATTTATTTAAATGCCTATCATATTTGCCACTCTTAGGACCTGAAAATAAATGTGGGAAGCAATTCATCAGGCAGATGAAGACCGGGAATAAAACAATGGAAATACACTGGCAGTTATTCAGAGCACTAAAAAAAAAGGCAAATAAATTGACTGTTTTCATGAATCACTTCTTGCAAAGCCTAGATTATCTCTTTATTTTGCTCACTCTGTACAACTCCCATTTATTTCAAACAAGCATTTAGGATGTCTTTAATCCAGCCAAAACCAATCAGCAATCAACAGTCACTACCTGATGAGGGATTTTTAGTACAGGAAAAGGTAAAAAATTTATGTATTCTGAAAAATCACTTTCATTCACTGTACTCACAGTAATATACTTAAAGCCTCTGGCAGTTCTGTTTCTGTCCTAACTTCCTGCTGTTATTTTCATCCAGCAGCAGATCCTACAAACACTAGTGTCGTCTCATCCTGCAGTCAGCTGCTCCCCAGTGGAGGCAGCTGGTTGCAGGTTCCCTGTCCTATTGCTGCTGCATGCAGCAAGAAGTGCGCGCTGGATTTGCGGGTTCTGCCCACATATCCAAGAAATCCCATACTGTAGACACTGTCCTCTTCTGCTATACCCTCTCCCCATTGCTGATGGCTGTACAGCGCCTTCGCCCTCCCGTCTGCCCACCTCTCGCGCTCCTGCTGCCCCCTTGGTGCTCGCTGAGGACACGCTGTAACAGGCACGCAGGTCCCCCCAGGAAGGTGGCAGGCTGCGCCGGGTCTGCCTGGAGGGGAGTTTGCTGAGCTGTGCTCTCAGCAGCAGGGCATCATTCATCTCGTATTTTTATGTTTTGCTTCTATTCAACAAACGGAAGATGGGGAAAATGCGGGGAGCTGAAAGCTTGAATTCAACAGGGCCACCGTGTTGCCAGGCCTCCCTACAGCCAGGCAGGGCCCTGACCTAGCAGCCCCTTCTGCAAGTTTGGGTTCAGGCTGCATACAGCCTCTTGGCTCCGCTCTGCACAGGTAGCTGGACAGGGCTAGGGGCTGCGGTATGAGCAACTTAAAGACAAACTAGCAGGGGAGGTATGGACAT